CAGGCCTGGCCCACCGTACACAATCCTCAAATTCTTTTGGACACTCGTCGACTAAGGCTTTCTTCACACTATCTAATGTATCTATCTGCAAAGATGAGGGGAAAAAAACCCATTTAATTATGCTATAAAGAGTGTTATGTGACAAGCAAACTGTGTTAAAAAGTTCAATTTACCAAACCTCCCGAATACTTTTTCCAACTTTGAACCCAAGCACTCTTGAAAGTGTTATGAGACAGGTTATGGATTAAGTTTCAAAGTGAATTTTGTTTGATGCAAAGCATCACAATGTTGGATAATAATAAAATGTTATATTTACTTAACAGCATTTAACAAACATTTTAATTATCTCATCATTTCAACTGGTTGTTACAGCCAGGCACATTCTGTGTCAAAGGTCATCAGGGCATGTACACTATTCACTACCCATAAACTTTGAAAATTAGGAAGACTTTTGTCAATTTGAGTATTCAGTGCTTAGAGGTTTCACAACATTTAGCGCTTTATAAATCCAACATACTATTATTACTATTATTGGTTCTTTCGCGATATAATACTAAATTATTATCCTTCACACAAAATGATTTTAGATCATGCTTTCTGTTGTACATTCTCAAATTATAAGAATACAGAAAAAATCTTATTTGTATGTCTAATTTGAAAACTTAGCTTACTGGTTGCATTCCTGGTAGCTTTAATGTCCTCTCTATAAATTTGGAATCTCTGCAAAAGCAATGTTACAATGTATTATTTATTGTGATGTGTAATTAAAAAAGAGATTGAAAACCACATAAGTATCTGATCCAGGACATGCTAGTGATATGAACTTTCTTGGTGGTTACCAAGATTACCTATTACAAAATGGATACCTGAATATATACAAGATACAAGTCAACTTTATTGTCAAAATAATACATTCTGAGATATTTGTTGTACATGACATAGAATACATATAGAGTGTTAAATAAAGATTTCTTAGAAAATAAAAATTTGAGTCCTGTGCAGTTATCTTCTGAAATTTTGATTAAATAGATTACAAGCGATGTACAATGCTGAATTTTTAAAACGGTTTGTGGATATTTTGTTTTGTTTATGTCTAACCCTTCCTGATCTATTTATGATAATGTCTGAAAATAATGGATGGGATGAATCTTGCATAATTGATTTAAATTTCTTAAGTAAAAAATCATTAAAAATATCTTCCAAGGACTTAACGTCGGCTCCAATCACTCTTCCAGCCTTATTTACAAAATTACTAATGTAATGTAATTTACTAATTACAAAACATTATAATATACAATAAAGATACAGTAACTCAGTGCAGTAAAACTCCACTGTAAAAAAATTTCACCACTTTAAGATTATCATCGGCATCTGTATTTTCAAAATTCTCTTCTAAACCATTCTAATTATTCCAATTTAAAAAATGTTTTAATAGACTGTTTAATCTGCATTTGATTGTAATTTTTTTAATGGCTAATAGACTTTTTATATATGTAACTTTGTAATGTTATACCAAGTAAACCAAACTAATTAAAAATAAATTTACTTACGTAATATACATAAGAGCATTATCATATGGATTTTTAAAGAGTCCTTCAAACTCATCCCTTGCCCATTGTAGTGTGTGTTCTATGGCATTTGGAAAGTTCTTTAGAGTACAAATCGGGATAGATTTCTCCGGAGGATCTTGCGATGATGCGTATGACTCTGTCAATGAGGGCAGCACAACTTGAACGTTGCCTTTTGTTCCCAGGGTACCAGACTCCAATAGAGATTTTCGGTAAAATACACATCGCCTATCCATATACATTCCTGAGTGGAAGGAAATTGTTATAAATTTTATCATTGAGGACAATTTTATATCAATAAATAATAAGCCTTCATGTAGTTTCAACAGCACATGCATAATATGTCAAAGTTCATTTTGTTAAGATATTACAGCTTCCCTGTACTATAGTATACAATACTGCCTCATTCTTATACTAATTACTCTGTTTAACACTTAGCCACAGTACATTGGTTTTGGGATGGCAAACCTCATTAATAAAACTATTTTTAAGAATTTATTTTATTTATTTTTATTTTAATAAACTATAAAATACACACGATGTATGACTTGCTTAGTCATAAAGAGTTGAAACTATTAGATAGCGTATTAGCAAACATTAAATATCAAACTTTAATGTATGAATAATAATGAATAACAAACAGTAAAACATTTCTTTTTGAGTTGAAGCATAATTAATTATAGCACAAACATTGATGATGTATAATTTAAAATCTTCGGTATAAAAAAATTTTTAGATTATATTTTTCAATCGTAAAGTAACAACACTTTTTATGCCTAAATCTTACTTGCATCAACATTGTCCAATGCGTTTGCAACACCATCTAGACTCTCAAAGAAATCGTCATTATAAACACTCTCTGTCTCAGGGCCAACTCGGTTCTGGTGGGGGACAATGTTGAAGGAGGGATTCATCTTTTTAGCTGCACTGGCT